TATTTTATAATGCACCAAATGATTTAGGTTATGATTTTGTTTTCCCGACAATTCATTTTGAGTTAACACGAGAAATGACACAACGAAGTGGAATTGTACCTTTAGATAATCATCAAATGTAAGATTTCTTGCCGCCAGGGCGAATTCTAATTGGTCTTTGTAGAGAAGATGTGGTTCTGTGTCTCCAGTCGCTGTATCCTTGTGTTCAGACTCGCTTACGTTATCTGAACCCGCAAACTCATCAAAAGCTTGAAAGAATCTAGAAAACGTATCCTGTTTTTCAGCTTCCAGGGATTCTTCTTCCTTTGGTTCAGAAGTTTTCTGTGGAAAAAAATATTTTTTAAATAACAGATCTAACCTGCTATGCTGTGCAACTGACATTTAATGGAGAACCGCACCACAAGCACGGCAAAATACACACTGATTTCCAAAATACGTTGAAAAAAGCAGAAGTTAACGAATACTTTCTTAGAAGAAAAGACGTAAACATAATCGATTGAAAGAACAATTTAATTCAGTGGGATTATCATCTGAACAGACTTACCGTTGGACGTTCGGGCACTTCCGGCACACTTGCGTTCTGATTATCGTCGTTATCGTCAATATCTTCGGAATTGATTTTTTTTAGTTCCTCATCTAGCCATGCCTCCATATCCTCTTCTTCCTCCTCCCCTTCGTTATCATGATTATTTACAATGCATCCATTCATGTCTTTTTCCTGAAAAAATTAAATACGAGTTTAACTTTTTTATAAACTACCCTCCAAGCATCAGCCCCGATAAAACCCTTCTTGTGCCCCGGGCAGGAGATGCATCAGTTTTTCTTCGCAACTGTCTGGTATAAGGTCTTACAAATTGATGGCTCAACCTTTCTTTAATAACTTTTAATTACTAGGAATACACCCCGAGATGCATTATGGAAATATTACTTTCGGCTGAAAGGAAGTTTGGAGGCACTTAAATATTGCTTTATAGGTAGGGAAAGTCTATCCTTGTCACACCTATGAGATACTTCTGTAGCAAGTCGCCAAACATTTTCAACCAAAAAATAAATAAGCCTAAGCTAGCTGCAGCACCGGAGACCAAATACCGGCGGTCTAATAACAACTTCCATGTCCTGGCCGACTGGCAGACTCATTGACGTCTGCATTTTCGTACCAGTTTCGGGTCGAGGGCAGTGACACTGAGCTCGTGAGGTTGACGACGAAGAATGTGTCCAAACTATCAAAGTCGTCCTTCTTAGACTGCATGTTTTACGTTAATTGAGTCTGCGTTTTGCCTTTCTGAATGTATTCTCTTTTATGGTCAAAGTCTTTAAAGACTACTCATTAGGATGTGGAACAATATAATTTACATTTGTCGCGTTAAATAATAAAGGAAAAAATTTTAGTGATATTCGAGGAAAGAGTTCGTCTTAAAATGTAGAGCAACTCAAAACTATACTTTTATAATTCCTGAGAAAGAAGACGAGGCAATTACGAAATGTGCAATCAAACCATAATAAAAGAATAGTTACACGAACACAGTAGTGACGGCCCTTAGGAGTAACGCAATATAATTTGTTGGAGTAAATTTTGCTTATTTTACAAAAAGGGCAATATGCCGCTGTTTCGAAGCGCAAAAATAATTCTCAAGACACTGCAGATAGGTGAACTGTTAGAAAATCAACTAAGTGGCTGATTGAAGGGCTATAAAAGTAACAACTTCGAAATTAAAAACATGCATTTAGTGGAACTTTATAGTCTTGGCGAAGCTGCGGGTGCGAGATCTAGGTCTTTTTCCACCAAAGTCGGAATTTTGCCCAATAAAATTTTCCCCCTGTTTCTAGTTCGAACAAGATAATCATCAAAGAAATGAATCTGGTGGCGTGGATTGCGTCAGCATGCACATGTAAGGTACAATGGACAGATTTTATTGCTCACTTGCCCAATATCATAAAGAAAATAATATTTTAGTTGGAACATTCGAGTGGAAAATTCTGTTGCTTTTATAGTCATTATGCTATTGATTTACACAAAAAACCACAAATGCTATATGCGAGAATGTGGAACTAGCGCTGGTGCTTATTCAAAGGCCTCAATACATCACAGATACAAAGGAGTTTGGAGTAACTTCAATTAGAAGGGATAATTAAAATCTCCTATGCATAAGTCTTTAATGGAGAAAATATAAAGAGTTTCCATTGTTCAAATGATAAAAGACACATACATACACACGTGTGCATGCACAAATATTAATTAAAGTTTCTGCGTTTATTAAAATTTTCAATTTCCAGGTCTACAGCAGTACGAATCGATCCGAGAAAAAATTATTGGATAGTAATATCCGAAAACAGGGCCACTATTAGTTAAGTCAAATAATGTGGTAAGCATAACAAAGCGGAGTGTTTCCCAAATTTTTAAACCACGATCATGCGCAAGGTAAATTTGTATTCAAATTAATTGAACATATGTTCAATTTTCACATATTGAAAATACTATTTGAAAAGCAAATAACATTTACCCGATTGAAATCCTTATAACTTATATAGAAGTTATTTCTTATACAAAAAATGCGTCATTTAAATTATACAAAGAGTAATCATATTTTGTTGAATCCCCATCTATTTTACCGTTGCCAGATAGTTTAAAAATCCGCGAGTTAGGGGTACACCAATTTCTAAAAGTTAATTGGTTGTCGCTATGACTACGGTTTATTCACTGTTTAAGGGGTCTAAGGATGAGAAAGGTTCTTAATTGGACTTATTGAAAATAAGAATGACATTTTTCCTAAACCCCCAACAGACATATTAAGTTGTTGAAAGCTATTAAAATCTTATCGAATATTAAACAATTTACCGAAGAAAAATAGCAAAATACAATTTTATTTGCCCGTGCCATTCCTCGAAAGTATGTGATCTATGCTTTTCTGATAGCAAGAACGGCCAGAAAATGTTATAGCAAAAGAAAGACAATGTTCAATGGTTTTTTCAGTAGCTGAATTAATAATAGGTCGGCTGTTTTCAACGTCGTTCTTACCCCAAATAAGGTGCAGGGATCGGGTTTGTTATACAAAGTCCATATTCAGTTCTATAGGCGTTAATCGTTAGCCTTATGTTTTCATATCAACTTCACCTTATGGTTCTGATCAATTTAATCCTTTTTCTATGGATTTTATGTACCGAACTCATGTATTTCCTTTAGAAACTTCTGATCGTCTATGGAATATTTTGCACGGAATTCCTATGAAAGACAAATTCCACGCAGTCTCATGTA